TCCAAACACAGCTTATTGATCAACACCCGCTGCCACCATGGACCATTGATCCTCACCTCTCTGCAGAAATATTGACGCAGCAAACACAAGGCTTCATCACTGCGATTGCCCCACAGCGTAGCATCAAACGCCGGAAAACTCAGATCTCAGACCAAACATGGGCTCTCGTTGATGAAAAGAAAGCCATTTTCAAACAACTGCAGAAGATGCAGAGAGTCAGAATGAAGTACCTTTTCAGAGCTTGGAAAGAACCAAATGAGTCTCAACCGGATGAGCTATGCACATGGATCAAGTTGCATGACATTGCTTTAGCACAAACTACCCATCGATTGGGACAGCTCAGCAAGCTCGTCACACAGGAGGCAGTGAGGACAGAGGATGTAGCCTTCTACCAAAACCTTGCAGCAGAAGCAGGTCGAACTTACACACAAGAAGGGCTCACTGGCTTATGGAAAAAGATCAAAGCGACGCTTCCCAAGAAAAAGCTCAAGCAGAGTACTACACCGCATGACAACCATGAAGAGATGTTGTACCACTTTGAGCAATTGGAGGCAGGCACTACAGTCCAGGAAAAAGAGATCCTGAACATTTGCCTTGAAAACAATTGCCAAGACCTTTCCATCAAGCCCAACGTTCAGTTCTATGATCTTCATGAACTACCAACACTCTACGAGGTTGAAGAAATGTGTTTGCGACAAAAATCATATCGAGCGCCAGGACCAGATGGAATTCCTCCAGAACTTTGCAGACTTTCAGCACCAACCATTGCGCCAGGCATCCACAATGTCATGATGAAGTCTGTTCTCTCGAGCATTGAACCCTCCAGATTCAAGGGAGGCCATCTTCAGGCAATCTGGAAACGCAAAGGCTCTCCACAAGATCCATCAACGTTTCGAGGTATTTTACTGGCTGACTCGTACGCCAAGATCCTACATGCTTGGACGAGACGTAGGTTGCTTCCGACGTTGATTCAACGTCAGGCAAGAGGCCAGATCGGAGGCCTTCCTGCCCAGCAGACGATCACTGCGATGCAGGTTCTGAGACTCCATAGTTGCCAAGCAAGACAATGTAGCATGTCAACAGCCAATCTTTTCATTGATATGAAGGCGGCATTCCATCATTTGTTGAGGGAACTGGTGTTTATTCGCAGAAGAGCCATTGACAAAGAAACCCTTGACAAGTTTGTGGATCCCCTGGACTTTGACAACATTGCACTTGCTCAACTTCTGGAGGACGTCTGCAACCGCACGCCAGCGGACATACCCCCAGCCTTGAGAGAATTCTTACATGATCTACACCGTGGAACCTGGTTCAAACTGGACCACAATGGCGACAACGTTACTATGACGGCAAGAGGTACTCGGCCTGGGTCACCTATGGCCGACATTAGCTTCAACTTGCTCATGTCACGCATCATGACCATTTTGGAGGAGAAGCTGGATGATTTGGAACACTATGTTGATGGGAAGGCAAAAATGCAGGTTGACATTCCACCCATCAGCTGGGTTGATGATCTTGCAGTGCCCATTGCATGTGGAAACCCGAGCAACATCCTGCCGTTATTGGAACAGGTCACGAGCATTGTCCACAGCACTTTCAGAGATCATGGTTTGACGATGAACTTTGAAGCTGGCAAAACGGAAGCAGTTGTGATGTTCCGAGGAGCTGGAGCCAATCATCAGCGAACTACTACATTTGATAAACCTCAGCCACCATGCCTTGTTGTTGCAACACCTACACATTTGCTGCGCCTCCGCATAGTTGCTTCTTACAAGCATCTTGGAGCACGATTTGCGATGGATGCTGAATTAAACCAAGAGATCAATCAGAGGATGGCAGCTGCACGACAGGCATTTGAAGAAATGAAGAGACCAATCTTCAAAAACAAAGCGTTGATGTCAAAGGTCGCCAACAGCTATATCATAGTTTGGTAGCATCGCGCCTCCTATATGGATGCGCGGTCTGGTCAGATGTATCAGCAGCTCAGATCAAACAGGTTGAGGCTGTTATCATTGACCATCACCGACGCATTCATGATGAAGGATTCTGGCAGCAGACCCGCATCAATGATGAAGCTTTCACTGCGCAATCGAAGATGATTCCTTTTAGGATTTTGTGGGCACGAAACTGCCTGGTCTATCTCCAAGCCCTGAGCAAACATGGACGGCCTTACCATTTGCAATTACTTCTTTTGGAGTTCAAGCGGCAACGAGGCTGGCTCTGGGAAGTGTGCACTGATTTGCAGTGGATGGAGCACCTTGTGGAGCTACCCATCACGATCCCAACGACAGGTGAAGAATGGAGAGTTGCCCTCGAAACCTTGTCGCAGTGCACCCACTGGAAAGCCCTTGTCAGTAGAGCCTGCCGCCGACAACTCCTACAGGAACAACTTGCGATTGAAGTTCAAACACAACACCATGCAATTGTGCAACACCTTCGACAACATGGATGCGAAGTCATCGTCCCGGAGGAGACTGAAGAGACAACACAACCTAAACAATTATTGGTTATGGACAATGCGGCATCACCTTTGAGACGTCTCATGCGCTGGCCACCCACATGTACCAGAAGCATGGAACAATGTCGCTCGAACGGCCTTACATCCAGTCAACCACTTGTGCTGGATGCCTGAAAGACTTCCACACTACATGGCGTGTACAACAACACTTGAAGTACCGCCCCAATGGATGCTGGGATCGAGTTTGTGGATCCCGACAACCAGATCTTCCTGCAACCATCACCTTACCGCCACATCTGAAGAACATCAAACGGCTCCCAGCTATTAGACGGATGCATGGGCCCATTCGACGCACGAGTGTGCAACGTCAACGCATCAAGCTGAAGCAGCGCATCAGCGATGTGAGGCAGCAAGGAGCTGACGAGTTTGCATGGTGGTTTCCTTCAACAGACCCAGCGCTGACTGACATTGTTTGCGATGCCTTCAGTGCTGGCTTGACAGAATGGCGCAGTGACTTTGATGCGGACCACATCACGTACCAGAACATCATGTTTGGTAAGATTCTCAACATGGACATCCCGGACATGAAGGGAGCGCGCATCTACATCCATTGGGCTGAGACCATGTTTTACGATCTCTGGCCTGAGGATCTTGACCCTGATCGAGCATCAAGCTTGGACAGAGCCAATGAAATGATGCTGGAAGAATTACCTACCTGGCAGACGAGACATGAGATGGCGAAGTTGGCGCAGCTTTGGGCCCATTTGCCACCTGACGAACCTGCACCGAGATTGCCACCGGTACAATCCAGGCCATACAATCGAGCGCACCCGATCTGGCGACGCTATGCAGATCTTCCTGATGCTGAACAACGAAGGGCAAAATGGCACATGTATGGAGAACGTGTGCACCAGGCACCCCCAACTGAAGGGCCGTACTACATCATTCATTTGTACTCAGGCCGCAGACGCTCGGGAGATTTCCAGGACTGGATGGAGCATTACTTGCTGGCAGGTGGTTTTCACAACATCCATGTTTTATCTGTAGATACAGCAGTGGATCCTGAGATGAACATCCACAATCCGAAGCTATGGACATTCCTCATGGATATCATCCAGCAAGGACGATGCTTAGGCATCCTTCTGGGCCCTTCATGCGAGACGTGGAGCGCAGCTCGACACCATTCTCTTCTTGGACCAGATGGCTCTGTTGTAACTGGCCCGAGGCCATTACGTCATGGAGCACATCTTTGGGGCCTGGAGAAGCTAACATGGGCGGAACTACAGCAGCTGCACATCGGCAACACGTTGCTGCTGAAAAGACTCCACCTTGCATGCGCTGCAGCCCTGAGAGGTAGCCCGGCTTTTGTTGAGCATCCTGCACCACCACAAGATGGTGACATGACATCAATATGGCGCCTGGGACTGGTCAGAATGATCATGAGGCCGCCCAGACGGCTATTTTCCAAGCTGTCCATACAGCAGTGGCGGTATGGCTCTCAAGGCATTAAGCCTACCACATTGATGTACAGTAATGCACGTTTAGGTGATGCGCTTGCTCAATGTGAAGTTGCACAGCCAGTGCGGCCAACCGCATTCCTCATCGGTCGCTCTGAGACCGGTGAGTTCGCACGGCATGTGCAAAGGAGTATCCCTCCAAACTTAATCAAAGTTTTGCTTTAGCCATCAAGGCCAAGTTGGATGGGACACGCAAAGGCACAGAAGTTCCAGTTCCACTTGTCGACACCTATGGCAAGTTTTTGGCTGAGCGATCTGCCTGCATGGATTGCGGCATTCGCATGATGCCAGACTATCAGCCCATCTAGGGCGAATTTGAAGTTCTGCAGGCCACGGCATGAGACCTTCTCAGCAGCCGAGAAAAAAAAAACTTATATTATATATATATATATATATTTATATAAAGAAGAATTATAAAGGAACGCCGTGACAGTGCGTCATGGCAAATCCTCCATATGTAGACAATGTAACGCACAATTTTTTCGTTCACGGGTTCTCCAACGAGCTTCACACATCTGGGAAAACACAAATGTGGGAAATACGACGCCCAGCCAAATAGATATGGGAGAGTTTTGGAGTCAAATGTGGTACAGTAAACCCAATGCCACAAACCTCCGATTCGAAAATGGTTTCTACATGTGTATACTACGATATACCATCAATCTCTTGATGAGTTTGGGACGTTCTCCGGATTTAAGTTTAATAGTTTTTTGATATTCACTATGTTCATCTATGTTTGCAAGTTCCAAGTTTGGATGGTTACCCTCTGGTAAACTGTCACATAGCTACGGAAAATCACCATGCTATTAATGGGTAAATCCACTATTTCGACTGGGCCATTTTCACTAGCAAACTGTTTGTTTACCAGAGGGTATATGTTCCCACTAGTACCATTATCAACCATTATCAACCATGATTAACCACTATTACCAGAGGGTAAATCCCCATGAATTTCCCCAACAAATCCCTGGTAACACCTTGTTTTTGACATCGAATCAATCTTGGTGTCCTGTCCGATCATCGAGGAGCGGGGTGCTCAGAAAGTGGCGGACTTGAAAGGCGCGACACCCGGCGTATTGTCGTCGAGTCGTCGGCAGTCGAGAAGTTCTATGGAACATACGGATGTAAAGCATGGGTAAAGAGCATCTATAGATATACAGCTGGGATAATCTCAGGATAATGCCATAATATAAATAGATTGGATAATCCCAGGATCATGTTTAATGCTTATAGATCCGACCTAATGGTTGATATACAAACATAATTCCATGGTCCGGAACAGAAATGGATACAATTCTTAGCTATCAAACAAATTATTCCTAGAAACTATCAACTGTTATCTATAATGATCCTGTGATATTGATATAATTGATATATATATATATATATTGATATAATATCATATCATCATAATGTATCAGCTATCAACTGTTATCCAATGGTCCCATACATCAACTGTACGTATTTTAAGTGATACACGGTTGATGGAATCCTGGCAACTATCTGGCCGTTTTTTGTCACTCATTCAACACATAGCCTTGATCTTCTGGGAAAATCATGGGATTTATAGTGATTCAATGGGATATTAATGGGATATACCCTCTGGTTATTTAACGCAGCTATGGAACATGGCCCATTTACAAATGATTTTCCCATTAAAACCCTCCATTGATAAGGGATTCTCCATAGCTATGTTACATAACCAGATGGTAATGGTATATAGATGTATATAGATATAATCTGGGTGAATTTCATCACTAGCTCACTGTGCGACCTAAGCCTGGAATCATGGTAATGGATTGTTTGGAATCATCCCAAATGGCCTCATAGTTTACCCAGATATAATGGTATATAATGGGAAGCCGGAAAAGTAGTGGATTGAAAATATGGGATTCCAAGAACTGGGCTGATGCAACTGAACCTGTGTAAAACACCACAAGCTTTAAAAACCGCCAATGCATATACTTAGAATGGGAGATTAAACTAACCATTTGATCATCCCCACTTAGATGGGTCAGGATGGTTGCTGGACATAATTTTGTTTATTGTCCACTTTGTTAATCCTTCATTTGGGAAGTGTACACGGGATAACACTTGTTTTAATGGTTCCCTCAACCGAATCCAATTTACTATTGGAGTTTTCTCTATACAGAAAGGGTCCCCAAACAAGAGAGTATGAAAAAAACATAATTTTATATACATTGATTTGGAACATCCTCAAACAGATCACTGAGCTTTTTGGGTCATAAACATTCATAAACCACTTACAGGGAGAGCATCTGAAAAAGATCATTAAGTTGGTCTGTTGGGTTTACAAATAAACTTATAACTTGGGCCGTAGGGAGAGCCAGGCCGAGGACAACCGAGGACGAAGTCCGCTTTTAAAATGCTGCTGTGGCATGGACACCACCAGGACGATACAGGTATCGTTGGCAGCATCGTGGGCCAATTGTGCCGAGCATGTTGATGCTGCGCTATCTCGTGGCCTGACCTTCAAACGTGGCCTTGGCACCATCTCTGACGGTCTTGGACATCTTCTCAAGTATCTTCGATAGAGCGTGCTGCATCAGCCCGAGACAGAGATGCGCATCGGCAAAGCTTATCTTGGCGGCACAGAGATGCAAAGAGACGATCCCAACAGAGCTTTCTATTTACAACGCGTTCCATGGAAGCGCTCGCAAGCCTTTTGGACGTTTTGTCAAAACGATCTGAGTCAAAGGCAGACCTGGACTGCATCCACGTAGTGGTCAACGTTCAAACGGACTCTGTCTGAACGATGTCTGAACGTAACTCTGCTGCACCCATGTCAGATCCAAGCTTGACATTCAACCAGTGCGGTTCATCATGGCAGTAAAAATGTCCTACACAACGACATGTTTTTTTTAATGAATTAGATAATTACTGGTTGGTGGTTTGAAACATGAATTTATGTGCCCTTTCAGTTTGGAATTTCATCTTCCAACTGACGAACTCATATTTTTCAGAGGGGTTCAAACCACCAACCAGATCATCATTAATCATCATAAATCACCATTATTATGATCATTATATATCATTATCAACCATTATTAACCATTGTTTAGTCATGATGCACCCTATTATTCCCATCAAATACTGTACTATCTAAATAATTTCTAAATGGAACTGACTACTGAGCCTGTTTTTTTTTCCACCAAGATCCCATCAATGTGGGTAGTCGGAGAAAGCCTCCAACCTAGATGGAAGTGGATGGCTATAGACAGCTGCGTGCACCAACATCAATGTCAACTTCCAAAATGACCAGCATATGTGGTTCCAAACAGCTTCAAAAATATATATATATATATTGCATTACTATTGTGGTTTGGGTAGAAAATAATTTTGAAAAGATTTATTTATGTTCATACATTCCCGAAGGTCAATGAAGGGCTCAGCTACTATACTTTACCTTTCTCTTGTACTTGCTAGTGTGCTACCATATTCTCTTGAATATGTTTTTCATACTTCGTTTCGAATTTGCTTGAAGATACTACAGAGTCTATATTATATGTTTCAAGACATGGATGTATGTACACATTATACATACACACAATTATATTCATATACACATTTTATTGTTGACCAAACTTTACATGACATGTGTACTATAGAATTGCAACGCAGCACTTTTCGCACCCCAGATTTTTTTTAAAAAATCAAACATCAAGACAACAGCCACGAACATTTAAAAGCTGTTCTTTAAACTTTTTTAAAAAGTAGATAAAACACAAAGTCCTTTTCTCGTCCGGTCTGAGGAAAAAAACGGCAAACAAAAACCAACAAGTCAAACATATGTTTGACTTTTAGTTTTTTGTTGTTCGACGTTTCCACCCACAAAAACCGACAGATTTTAAGCGACTTAGATCGACTTTTCGAACCCCTGAAACCATGGGATATTGAGGCGATTCAACCAATATATGGGGATGACGGATGATCATGGGGCCACAACTAATTTTTATGTCCTAAAACAAGTTTTTGGGAGAGTTGTTCATAGCTCTCCAAATTGTAGAATTAATTAGGTACTTGCTCATCCCAGTGAGTACCTTGATTCAATGGGAATTCCAGGATCCTAAAATGGAGGTACTGTACCATATAAGGCCATATTTTGGGTATATATAGCCCTTGCATAGGCCTTATATATGATAGGTACCTCCAATTTGGGTTCCTGGAATGGCCATTGATTTTTTACAAAGCCTGGTCATATTTTGACTAAGCTTCCTTAGCGATGCAGCTATGACATTCTGGGATGAAGCACCAGGTTTTCTTTGAGGCACCATTGAGTCCACCGCAAAGCATCCAAGCGCTGGTGATGAGATGGGCCGCAGGAGAACATGGAATTTCCTGAGCAAAAATGAGGGAGGATTTTTCAGCAGCAAAAAGTTTTTTCACACATGGGGATTTCACAAACACAAACGTTCATTAAGAAAAACACCAAAAAAAATAAGAAAAATCGATGTTTGAACCCGACACAACTCCATTTTCGAGGTGATCCACAGCCATGATGCCGTCGCGAGACCCGCAGGCTGCAACGCAGCGTTCCACACGGAGTTGATGAAACCGGCTGAGGCGCAAGATGGCGAGTCACTGGGGACCATAGCAACTGAAGAATATGACCCTCTGGTACTAATGGGAAAATATACCCTCTGGTAAACATACAAAAAACTATTGAAAATGGCCCAGTCGAAATAGTGGATTTACCCATTAATAGCATGGTGATTTTCCATAGTTATGTGACAGTTTACCAGAGGGTAGTCATATCACCATGATATCCCACTATAATCCATATATATATATATTCATAAGAACCCCATATAGATCCTATGTTTTCTTAGGCAGGTTGAGAGGCTCAAATGGTTGACCCATTCTTACATAGGATTGCTAGCTATATTTCACGTGTTGAAAGGCAACATGTTCATCCCTAAATCTGACAAATCAATCCAAAGGTGTTGCCAGATGTTTATCTTCCTCGCAACTGGGACTTGTGGCCTATACCTATACTAATCCAGTAATTGTCATCTGCTAGAAGTTGGAAGACATCCGACTTTCATGTTATTTCATGTTCCATGAGACATAACTTGGGTGGGTTACAGCTTTGTTCAAACGTTGCTGATTGGTTACGTTCAAAACCGGTGATTTGGATGGTCTTCCGGGGATGATGAAGCGGCATGTCGTTTGTAAAACCCAATCTGCTTGTCATTGCTAATATTACGCTAATATGATGTTACGTATTGCATGGAAATATTTTGACATATTATGAAATATTATGACATATTATGAAATATTACGTATCTAGCCCCCATAAAATGATTGATATGCCATTTATCCCATATTTCCTCTGTCAAAAAAATGGTAGACGACATTCCCCACCATCCTGGACCGAAGTCGTCCTTTCGGGACGGCCAGTTGCTTCAAGCTGACCACTTGTTTTGAGTTACGGATGTTACGGCTTGAATTTTTGGTTGAGTTTTTGTTGATCATATTGATCATCTATTGAAAAAATCATGGAACATGGAAAATTCCATAGAACAAACCATATAAACCATATAAACCATATGGAAAAGTCATGGAAAAGTCCCACGTGGTTGCCAGCCATAGACACCGCTTGACACCGCAGGCCGACTTCAAGCAGCATTTGCTCTCCATGCTGCGTAGCGACACGTCGCGCCTCCCAGAGACTTTCTTTCCTTGTGGTAGTCATGGGGGATGTCAAGATGAAACATATAGTTTTTTTTTTGTTAAGAAAGTTAAGAAACATAGATTATCTATAGATGTTATGTTTTGGAAATGTTTAAGCATGTTTAGAAACAATATTTTCTTAATTTTGAGCGGGTCTAAAGTGAACGCTATTGTGACTATTCGGATGGTGGATATTGGCCATTGGGTCTTTTTTGTGGCTCCGCAATTTGACCATCTCCGGCAGAAAGATATGGACGGATAAGATGCTCACGGGGTCTAAGATAGTCAACTTCAGGATGATGTACATAACCCATAGGATCCATGCATGGTATATATGCTAACATTTGGGGTATATTGTTGGTAAATGTTACCATATATAGCATACATGGATCCTATGGGTAAGTGATTAGGTAACCAGAATAACTATCAAACTGGTTGGCAATATGTTTAAGCAGGATGACTGAGTATAGAAACTCTGCAGGTGATTAAACAAAAACGCCCTCGATATTTTGTTTCGATGCAGTGTATGTTCGTTTTGTGGGACTACAATTTAATGCATGCCACCCCTTATGTCGGATCCAATAAGAACAGTCCAAACATGCAAATTCATATCGGTGTCCGTCAAAATTTCCAGGTTACTTTAGTGTTCTTTAGTCATCGGTTCAATAGGGCGTAAGAATGTTTCATACTCACGATGACCGAGATGTGTCAGTTTGAGAATCTGAAGCTTGTGACTTCTAGCTGACTTCCAGCAGTAAACATACGCATTTCGAAGATTAATAATCGGCAATTGAATACAACATTTTGGAAGTTGGTTATAGAATACTGATTGCACGATCTTTTTGAATTCCTGCTCAACTTGTTGTAAGCTAAGGGCAGGAAGAGACTTTTTGCTGAACAAAAAGAACCCAGAACTCACAAACAAACGTGATCGTTTCCGGAGGGATCAGTCATTCTTGGGGTGTCATCAGTTCCATACTTGGATGTCCCAGCTCGGCCGTCGCAATTCTTGGTATTCAGTTGTCCAAACATCCAGTGGCTCAGTAAATGTATATATATAGTGTATTCTCAGTCCCACACATTTTCTTTCCTATTGGTAATACATTTATTTTCGCTGCTGCATCCAATTATATGATATTAAGTGATATAATACATTATAACTTATCACCATTGAATGATTTACCTTGAAAACTTGTGTAACCCTTACATCGAAACCATTGCAATCATATGTAACCATGTTTTTTTCGCATGATTCATTCCCATGTTTGTTTTCAGCTGGGCAGTTCACTGCTGTGTTTTTCAACACAACGTTGGGGCGGCCTATTGGAGGGGCGTATGGTGTCAAGTTTGATCGCGATTCAGCGAGGCTGTACATCCACTGCAGCAGTCGGCATCGAGCTCCGACTATGTTTTGCTATTTATGACCATCGGCTGAGCATGCTGATGTTGCTATTCTTCATGACCGAGGATCAAGCAGACGCGAGCGTCTCTACTTTCTTTTGCTACATTCTACATGTTTTTTTTGGGAGTGTATTTCATGTTTTTTTCCCCGGCTGTGTGTTGTAAATTATTTTGGGAGTGTGCTTTCCATGTCGTTTGTTAACTCGACAGCTCGATTGAAATCCTCGGACGATGACGTCACGTTTGCCCTTGTTGTCGTGAGATCGAAAATCCAGCCAGGTTTCACAAGTCCATAAATGGGCGTTTCCATAAATGGTACCAAATCATCCAAGTCATTAGACCATTCTACTATTAATCAATATTGAAAGCCATGGTTTTGGGGTACCCCTTTTAGGAAAACTCCATTGAACCACGGCACTGGTGTCCGGTGAGGTTGAAATCCCCTGAGATTACCGTCTACTCCTCTCAGTCCGGCTGCCATGGCACCATGGGGCATGGTCAATGATGGGATGCTAAAAATGTGAATTGTTAAATGGAACATATTCATATTTGATCATACTTATATATAACATACATTATATATATATATCATATATTATATATATTATATATATTTGATCATACTCTTATATGTATATTATATTATATACTATATATATATATATTTGTTCACACTTGTATATATACATATATATACATATAATGATTTTATTAAGCCTAAAAAGGGATGAGGATTTTTTGAGGTTCCAGAATGAAGATTAAAGGAAGACACCAAATTATGGTGTGTTCCAGTGTGTGACTCGCAGAAATTCTCATAGTATTAAGGCATACCATCTGGAAATTTGGCTTATAAGATGAAAGGTGCTGGTTCGAGTGACTGGTTGAAACAATGGTGCATCAACGGGGGAATGTCATCGACTTAGAAGTAAACTGGGTAACTGGGGGATCTGAGTTTCGATTGAATTTGCCATACTGCAGATGTTTTGCGTGGCCCTCTGGTAGGAAGCCAACATAAGACAAATCTATGGAAGTACGATGGTAAAGATCTGACAGAGTAACAAACTTTTCCTTCGATTTTCGTGTTATGACTTACGACCCTGGCAAAATCACAAAGGCGGCATATCCCCTATTCATAGCCATACAGCTAGTAAGCCCCCCAAAAGATCGAACTTAAATATGTCCAGAATGGTTAAAAAAAAAATCGTTTTCACCAAACAATTTCCAGTTTTCCAAAGAGTCTTCCATCATATTCCATGGATTTTGTGGGGAGATTGCTATATTTTCATGGTGGTTTTTGTCTGAGGACCGGTGAGCGCTGGCTTCCGGGCACACCCGCCTCCACCATCGCGGAGGGGCTGGTGCAAGGTGGACCCCGTGGGAGATCATTGGGGATATATCGTGGAATATCCTGGGAGATCTATTGGATTATAGTGGATATATATATATAGTGGTTATTGGAATAGTATATATATATTTCATTGATATTGGATACATCGAATTTCTGTTGTGGAATAGGATGTGGAACATTTTGTGGTAGTATGTAACCTAAACTAATTACACTTGACATAGGAGTAACGTGGTACATGTAACGTGGCTGGAATGATGGCCAGGATTGGGGGAACTATCATCCAATTGTTCAACAATTTGTGGGGTCTAAACATGATTAAACCCATTGGTTGGAAACAACCATTGAGTATTTAATTCTTTAAACAGGAACAGGTTCGGGGACTTTCCTGGAACAGCTAGTGCTAATCATCTTAATCATCTTAAATATCCCTTGGTTCTATAGAGTCACCGAAATGTGCTGTTTGACCTCATCAGGGATTGCTTCGTATCCAGCTAATTGGGGTAAAGTCTCCCAGAGTGAGCACCCCACGGTCATGGATTTTTTGATGATCAAATGATCATTTTTTTGTGGTTAAAACAATGCCATATACCATAGTTGATTAATGGGATTATATAGGGATTATATAGGGATCATGGGATGATTAATGGAATGATTAATGTGGTTCAAACAATGTTATAAACTACCCATGACTGGGAATGGTAAACATAGCACCTATCTATGGTGATGACTGGGGTATGGTTTATGACATTGTTTTAACCACATTACCTGAAAATGGTTTTGTGGTACTTACATTTTTTGGTTGGCGCGGTGTTACAACTAGTTCTGGGCGTCCCAGTTGGATAGACACACATAGCACCTTAGGATATTATAGATCAGACAACTCATAGTTCCTAGGTGTTTGACTTATTTATTCATGTTTGTTGTGTGCAATAGAAAAATGGTAAACCCCATGTCAGGAAACCCACCTCATTTGGTCACTATTCGAACACATTTCAGGACCTGGAATCAGAAGGTTTCCTGATATTTCCTGCTTTGCCACTTTCCACTTTCAGAATTGATTCATATTCAATAAACATTGTCAAAATAAACAGTTAACCTACTGGGGTAAACATTCATATTCAATACAAATCTAATATTCTAATAAACATCAGTAGCTTTGTTAGTTGAACCATATTAGTTGAACCATATTCAATCACAATTCATCCACCACTTATCCAGCATTAACACCCTTCATGATGCAGAACTGGGTTTCATATATATATATACATATTTATATATATACACGCAAAATCATCTAATTTTAAACCAGAGTTTTGTTTGGGTGATATTGAATATCAGAGGGAAGGCATTAGTAAAGCTTCCGTTATCCCCGATTATATCCCATTATTTAATTCTCAATAATCATTGCCATAGTTGATCCCATTCACTTATGATAAGCTGATGGTCATATTCATCAACAATAGTAATTTGTAATTTTAATGCACTAAATTCGTTTATCTATTCATCATGTGTCCAAAAATCCAATATACTATTATATATATATATATATGTACTACTCAATGGTAGCAATAAGTAGTAGCAACGACTACTAGATAATAATGATACTTGATAATAATATTCCCAGATAGTTCTAGATGACTATATTCCCCAATGGTAATAATTTGTAATAATAGTAAGATCATTATTATCTATGTCCATTAATAATATTGTTATATTCCGATTAATCGGCAATCCCCAATTATCATTACATTTTCCAATTAGTTATCACTGTCAAATGGATAAAACTGATGTGGAATTCTTTGTTATCATAAGAAAGATATCTGATTGGTGGTTTGGAACATTTTTATTTTTCCTATATTGGGAATACCGATCCCAACTGACTTTCATATGTTTCAGAGGGGTAGGTCAACCACCAACCAGATAACCATCATAACCATTCCATTTTTGGCAATCCCATGAATATCTATTTGTTATGGCCATCTTTCCCAAAACCACGCATGGAGTCTGACGTGGCAGGTTTGAGCTCTCCAAACCAATGGGAGGACGGCCACACCGCAGGTGAGAGCTCCACAAGTTGGTTTATTTTTTATCATAGTCAATAACCAATAGCCAATATATGTTATAGTTATATATACAGTTATACATAGATCATAATTACTAGCCAATGTTTATGACAGTTAACTACAAGTTGGTTTATAACCTCATTATTAACTATGATTTATTGTTATTTTCCCCAATTTCATCATAGCCAACCAACAGTCAGCCTCTCACCTTTTAGGGGACTTGGTGGGTGAGCAATGAATGATGAACGCACCAACAAAAAGAAATTATAGCTGGATAGAAGTTAGAAAACACCAAAAAAAGAAAGGATAGAAGTTAAAACTAGTTAAAGTATGATTTGAATCTATGTACAACCCCTTCCCCCTTAGTACTCAACGGTCCCCCGAATAAAATCTACGGGTAGTTGTTAGTATTAGGGTGAGACATTTTCCCGTTATAATAAAATCAAATCCGTAATTCGAAAAAACTGAAATGTGGCATTTCAAAACCGATCACATCCCTATAGAAAATTCTAATCAAACTATTTCCAAAAATTGGATTTCGATGCTTTCCCCTAATATTAGATTCAAAACCTTAATAAAGAGAACAAACATTGTCAAAATTCCTATCAAACTATAATTGCCACACATTGGATTTTGAAGCTGTCCTCTAATATTAAATTCAAAACCTTATTTAAATAAATGTTAGAATTTAAAAGACGGACCATAATCAAAAACAGCCCGGGGTTGACTACTTTTGTAAGGGGGATGAAACCCTTAAATTGGACCTTATGTTTTTGACTGCCTTCTAAAGGGGATACCTTAACAATCAAATTGACCAATCTGAAATTACCTGAAACGAACAATCTGGGGGTCGTTGTTATTATTTAGGAGAGGTTTAGTAAAAGAAAAACGAGGTTTACTTAAAAATGAAAATATATATAAAGTGAAGCTGGGATTGGTGATGATAGTATTGATAGTTTTGGAGTATATAGTCTGGACCATCCCATCAACTCCACAGTATTAATCTGAATCTCAATCTCAAGCTGGGATATATGAAGATAGTTTTTTGGAGTCTAAGCCTTGAAAAAAAATAAAACGATGCTCATCCCATGAGCCATTTATATCCAGGGATCAGGCAAAGCTGGGTGTCACGTGAGGCGGAAACAAAAGGTAAGCAATGTTTCATTTACACGAAAACTATCGACAAGAACATGAGATTCCAAAAGAAATAAATCAACATCAGATTTATATATATATGTATATACATACATATATATATATACATACATATATGGTGGTTTCCTAAAATAGGGGTACCCCCTGATAAATCATCCATTTACAGATGTTTTTTCCACTGGAAACCATCCAGCTATTGGGGATCAACAAGTGGTCATTTCATGACAGGACATCCTTTTAGAATAGATGATCTAGGGGTACCTCCATTTGAGGAAACCCCCATATATATGTAATATATAATAATATATCTATATACTGGTTGATGGTTTGGAACATGAGTTTTATGACTTTCCATTCAGTTAGGGATTAATAATCCCAACTGACTTTCATATTTTTAAGAGGGGTTGAAACCACCAACCCGTATACTATATATTATATATACATATTATAAATATTCATATTTTTACATATAATATAATATCATAATATCATGTGGTTAAAACAATAATAAACCATCCCCCAAATCACCTTAAATCGGTGGTATGTTTACCATTCCCAGTCATGGGTGGTTTATAACATTGTTTTACCCACATTAATGGTATATATGAATACGAATGATAATGCTATATGAATAATTAATGGTATAATCCATAGTGTCTTACATCATTTTCCTCCCATTATATAGACATTACCCACCATTTACCCACATTACCCTCAGGTAAACTAAGATAACTATGGAACATCACCATTTTGAATAGTTAAATCCACTATAAATGTCTAATTTTCCATTGCAAACTATTAGTTTACCAAAGGGTATATCATCATTAGTCCATTAATCACCATTAATCACCATTAATCACCATTAATCACCAATATTAACCAATATTAAGCCATTTACCATGGATATTCACATGAAATCACCATGAAATCTCCAGAAAGGACACCTGCCGCGCGATCATCGACGATGGTGTGGAGTTCTTCTGGGAGATTGGACCCATGAAGCAGCGACTTGCTGCGAATTCCCTTGGTTTAAACGGTTCATATGGAAAATCTTTGGAAACCCATGGTTTACCTGGAATATCTATGGAAAAATTGGATATAGAAAATCCCATGGAAAATCTATAGAATCTAGCATAAAATAACTGGTTAATACTGGAATATCTTATAATATCTATGGATATCTATGGAACATCTATGCAAATTTTTTGTTAATCATGGGAATATGTATGGTTAATCACGGTTGATGCTTAAGAACGGTTAATGATGGTTAAAATGTGTGAATCATATGGGATATCTGTAGAAATCTGGCAAGTACCTGATTTCGCCACTAACAACATGATAAAGTTTGGATTTTGCAAACACGCATTTGTTGATTCATTTATAAATCAAGGAAAGATCGATACCTCGCCAAGAGAAAATATGGGGATTGCTAGTTTAATTAAGACATTGAGACTTGGCAAAGTTCTTGGAACCGGGAATAAGTAGCTTGACTTTGGATTATCCGTGTCCATCCCCTAAATGTGTTGTAAAATACTCCCCAAAAACCGGAGCTCCAATAAATAGATCCGATATTACAAACGGAACCGGGGTTTCTTTGGGGGGGTATTATAGATATTTATGGATAGGAAAGACAACTTATGACTTGGAGTTCCCTTACTGTAGTTTCACGAATTACACTCATTAACAAAAACAAGGGGGACTGACCTGATAAAAATTACACAGATTATGAAGGGTACGGGGGACGTTGATATAGGATATAACCAGTACTCAAAGTGGGTTAGCTGGGAGACAATAGAATAGAACCCCGGAACGATGTAAAGGGACTAACTGGGGTTGTCTAAAAGAAGAATCTGGTAACTAAGGATCCTTCAAAAACGGGTTTGTGAACGGTTGACCAAAAGTATGCTACACGAACTACACTGATACTCGTACATCATAGTCCCCATTGCGGGATATAGCCTTGCTGATAAATGGTATATAGATATACGTATAGATATATCCATTGACCAACAAAAATGAAGAGTAGAACAACCTGTGAATTGACCATCATTCAATCATCAAAAGTGCTGAATGGACCAGTGGAAACATGATAAAATGATGGAGATGAAGCAACAACAAATTAGGTATATTCACCAGAAAACATGGAAGGTTAGCAAAGAACGTAGATGAAACTTGGTTCAGTTGGATTAAGTTCGTTGGATTGACACTGCTATACCATACAGTTCGTTGTTTATACCCTCTGGTAAACATACAAAAAACGATTGAACATCACCATGTTTCATGGAAAAATATGGAAAAATCACTATTTCTATGGTGATTTTCCATAGTTATGTAACAAATTGCCAGAGGGTATATCTCATTGTATCCCAATGTTCCCAGAAAAAAATCGGATGTTCGATGGCTATGCTCCCATGAATCTCTCATAAATCCTTCGCCGACGACACAAACGCCCAGGCTGAAGGCCATGATGCCCGGAGGCACAGTGGCGTTCGCTCTTTCGCCGGCGCAACCTCCCTGGAGGTTCAATATGACCATGTAAGACCTTTATTTGTTGGGGTGTGTTTGCAATGGTCGGTTGGTCTGCAAATTCTCAGGATGGGTCACAATAGCATACAATAGCCAGTTGTGTGTTTGGAAATGGGGAAAAAAGTTCCAATATGTTCCAATTATAGCCATAAATCATAGGCAGAAACATGATGAAAATCATCAAGTTTTGTGGTACCCAGTGTTCAGACAGCCCTCCGATGCGGCCAGAATTCCTGGAGATTTCTCCCATGGGAGGTATAGGGAAATTGTGATCATCCCCTTTTTTCAGTGGTATACCTATGGATTATCATGGAATATCCCATCCTCTCTTAAACACAACCTAAATGGTGGTCCCAAATATGTGTAAATCCCCTGTTAAACCATGTTTTTTTGGGTGTTTCTCATAGGGGGATGGGATTCAAGCCTGGATTCGATCACGTTTTTGGGGGATTTGGACCTGCCGCGCCACGTTTTTGAGCTTAACTTAGGGAACCAACAGACAACCACGCTAAAACTATGGATTTTTGGTGGCGCTGGATGGTTAGATTTCTGTTTTTTGTGTTGATTTTCATTTTGGACATATCAAGAAATAGATGTTTCATTGCCGTTTTCCTGTTTGTCAAATGTCTGATTTGTTTCTGATTCTGAAGCGCAGACAGATTGAAGGGCTTGTACTGGAGGTACCTGTCAGTTTCTAGGAAGTCCGGAGTTATTTGACCGGCGAGCATTGAAGTTTGTATTGGACCTACGAAACGGTGGAATGAGGTTGATTTAGGACCTAGATCCTCATTCACCGCTCCCAAGATGTTTACCCCAAAGATTTTGTGTATTTTTGTTCATTGTTTTAGAAGTATAAGGATTGAAGATCAAGGCATATAATATACCCATATATTAAAATATCAAGGCATATAATACACCCATATATACCCATATGTTGATTGTTTAATATTTTTCCCCACTCAAATGTCAAGGGGTGGAGTGTCCTAGCGTTACTTCGGCGACACTGAGGAAACATATCGACTACAACCAGTGGAAGCACATGAAGTGTATCGACTGCTGATGGGCGGGCTAGCCGCGCAAGAGAAAAGAACTTAAATGTTGCGCTGCCACGGTGTGGATTTTGCAAATGGTGCTGAAACTTATCCATAAATCCACTGGGTGGTAATGTGGAACACTTTTTATTTTTCCATGTAATTATTGGGAATAATAATCCCAACTGACAAATATTTTCAGAGGGGTAGGTATACCACCAACCAGAAGTGTATAATTGTGTTCAATTGATTGGTTATTCCAATTATTCAGATTATCCGTAGAAGGGATTGGATGCAATTTGTGGCAAGCAACGAAAGTTTCATGAGGGCCCAACATATAAATTGGTAGATAATGAGAATTTATATATATTCTTATATCAATGATAGTAGTTGGAGCCCGACCCATAGACGGCCGTGGTGTTTTAAGCATTTTTTGGATTTTTTTTCGTTTTTTGATGGTCTTGCATGTCAACTAGCACACAGACGTCATGCTACGTTATGGTTATCTTGGGGTGGGGTTGGGTGGGGTGGGGTGGGGCAATGACGTTCATGTCAACTTGCCCACGCACGTCATGCTACGTTATTGTTATGTTCTCTTGCACTTGCACACACACACACGTCATGCTACGTTATGGTGATCTTCTCTTGCACTTGCTCACACACGTCATGCTACGTTATGGTGATCTTCTCTTGCACTTGCTCACACACGTCATGCTACGCTATGGTGGTCTTCTCTTGCACTTGCACACACACGTCATGCTACGTTATGGTTGTCTTGGGGTGGGGTTGGGTGGGGTGGGGTGGGGCAATGACGTTCATGTCAACTTGCACACACACACACACACGTCATGCTACGTTATTGTTATGTTCTCCTGCACTTGCACACACGTCATGCTACGTTATGGTGATCTTCTCTTGCACTTGCTCACACACGTCATGCTACGTTATGGTGATCTTCTCTTGCACTTGCTCACACACGTCATGCTACGCTATGGTGATCTTCTCTTGCACTTGCACACACACACACGTCATGCGCACCATTGTTTTTGCAGATGGAAACCGTGCTTGGGAGTCACATGCCAAAAGTTTGAAAATCAAACATGCCAAAGTGTCTCATCAAAACAAAGAATGGACCAAACAAATGCGAAGAACCTCCTTTTTTTCCTGTCCACTGTGGCAGGGACGCAAATCGCTGACAGATGGTGGAAAGGCCTTTCCAAGACGGTTGTATGATGGAGTCAACACAAAAGAACACCCTGAATTGGAAAAAGTTTCTGTTGGCGAAAATCTTTGGGACCATTGACACCTCACCGGTTTCTCGAAGAACTTTGCAAGGCCGTCAAAGCAATGAAGCGCTTCTGAGAAGAAGGAAAAAAGTGCTGCATCCCAAAAAAACACGAACTTATGTCAAAAAACGAAGTAGTTTTGAAGATTTTCAAAACCCTATTTTTCACGTCAACATGAGAAAAAATGACGTTTCGCTGTAGCGAAAACGACATTTTTGTTGATGAAAAACTCCTAAAACCATACGGCCGTCTATGGGTCGGGAACCTAGTAGTTAATTGATTATAAGTATAAATTCTAGTTGATTATAAATACCATATAAATACCAATATAGTTATATTTGCTCATTGGTTATCTATAATTATAATCAATTATAGTTCAAAAAACTAGTTCTTCACCAGGCCTGTTGGGACCAATTTTCCCCAACCACTAGTGAGATGATGTGTCACATTGGAACTCATGATTTTGGGAGAAAACTCAAAAACATATCCTTGGAATTTTCAGGCTTATTGCAAGACTTGGGATGGGTATATGGATGTATGTGGTTTATCTTGAAGTTGACTCTATAGCATTTGAGTTGGGATTTGATCGGTGGATTTATCCTATTTGTAGACGATCAATAATGATCAAACTGATTTCTATTGAATCCAACACCGTAGATAATCTTTCTAGAAATTTTATCATTTGTACATGGTCAAACATGATCAACAATGATTCACTCCTCAAAACCAACCAGGTTGGTAGGGCAAACACTCATAATTAGCTCTGGAAAATGGCCCATTTATAGATGATTAATGTATCGATATTTCAATAGCCAGGTCAGTTCGTCGATGGGCAACTCATGAGTTTTGTTGCGCTTCATCCGTTGGCTCAAAAGAAGTATTAAGGGGCCTCAGATCAGCAGTTGAGTCACCCACCCGCACCCTCCAAGCCACACCCCCACCCCCACCGACCCAACAAGACTCAAGATGTGAGGCATTAGTAGGCCCCAATCAAGTTTTGGTACTGTCATCTTGAGCCAACAGTGGAGGATTTTGTTCCAAAATCTGGGAGGAGAACATCTACCGCCCCATAGCTGTCATAGCTACCCACATCGTTTCACCCTTTGGCGCGATGTCCACAGGGGCATTAGTGACGGTTTCCGCGCGCATGGCGAAGGTTTGGATGACAAAACTGGGCCCAGCTTTGTTGATCTTTTGAGGGGATATATGATACCATTAGCAACTTACATCACTGTTTCATAAACCAACCAGAATAAAATATGGTCATATTTCAAATTTAGTATTCACGAAAATGGGGATATATTTAGTATTACAGAGGAAAATTATATCACTAAATATGTTCATCCCCATTTTCGGTTTTATTATGTTCCGTATAGCTCCTAAGTAAGCAGGGTTTAGTCTCAACTAGGTTTGACAAGTCCATTGGGTATGGGTCATATTTAGTATTCACTGTCCATTTATTCTCGAGGCGACAAGTTTTCAAATAGCATCCTTTTCCAGGAGATGATCAGGGATCCCCAGGGCTACTATATTCCCATGTACAGTAGAAATTCCTAGATGATGTTTCAATATCTTCCAATATGATCCAATATGTTTCTATATATGTCAATAGGTTTCAATAGGTTTCAAAGTTATGTTCATTTTCTCCTATCCAGTTTTCAGTTTTTTCTACACGCCGTTTGTTTTTCTATACATATCCCATGAATTCCCATTATATCCTTGTTGATGTGGTGGTTTCCTAAAATTGGGGTACCCCCAAATCATCAATTTTAATACAATTTTGCAATGTAAACCACCCATTTTGGGGTACCCCCATTTCAGGAAACCTCGATATCCCCATTATATCACATTCTGGAAGGCGGTTTGGAACATGAATTTTTGACTTTTCCATATATTGGGAATAATCATCCCAATTGAACAACTCATATTTTTCAGAGGGATTGAAACCACCAACCAGATCATCATTAATCATGTATTGAGTCACCAGGTTTATGATCATTATTAATCATTATTTAACTATTATTGATCATTGAATCTCCATATCCCCATTATATCACATTATATCTCAGTATATCCTCATATGAAATTGACACCGCATCATTCGCCAGTCCACGCACGTCTACGTATCGGGCTCCTCCTTCGAGGCGCCGTGACAGATGATATCTCATAGGGAACAACGATGGAGATTTTATAGGGCTATGATATGTTATAATATAAGGTGTATATATATATAAATATCGATTACTTTTTTTGGTGTTGCTAGTACTATTGCTGTTATTACTTTCATGCTATTAGTAAATGACAATGTCTTTGAATGGCGTTACCCCTCCCCATTTGCCAAGGCTGATGTGACATTTGACGGAGGGCAACGGAACATGTTGCCAAGTTGTTTCAATCCAAATTTACTTGGTTTGGTCATGTTTATGCCCAACTATTCGGAATATAACGGGGGTGTCAACCAAAAACAATTGAACATCATACGTGCGCACATATGTGTATATATATATATATATGTACGCATATGTATATATGATATATGTCTATATGTGTGTATACGTGCGGTCTACAACAAGGGAGGAAACAACTAACGAACTTGATCATGACATTTGGGTATCTTTCTTACACACACATATATATATATATATACACACTATAATTATATCATATTACAGACCACATATTGAGAACTATATATATATAGTATATGATCAGGGATATACTAACCAACATCATAGAATATTTGATACAATATTTGGGTGTGTTAGTCTATCCCATACTATATCCCATATGGATAGTCCATATGTTATATCCCACATGATTACTCTCGTAGGTGTGTCTGAAAATGGATACCCCATCGATGCAGGTGAAGGGTGCCGGAGAGTGGTACGTCAATGGCGTCTACACCAGATTGCCACAGAGGGTCAGACGTAGGGGGGAAGACAAAAAGTGTGTCTTATATAGGCCTGAAAAATAGGCCTTATATATGGTAGGTACCTCCTGTTTAGGATCCTGGAATGGCCATTGAAAATGGGGGAGATGCCTCTTGTAAACGTTGACATAGATGCGGAAAACAACCAGCATTTGTAGATCAGTTTCCGAAGGAGAAAGCAGGGGTAAATTGATGGCTTATCAGATAGTTTATCTTGCATTTGTCCGAGAATGTCCGATAATGTCCTATAGTTTGATGCTATTTGCGGTTATAGATGTTATCCCTCTGGTAATTTAACATAGCTATTTAAAATGGCCACAGAAATAGTGAGTTTTCCCATTAAACATGGTGATTTTCCATAGTTTTTTGTTAACGTTTACCAGAGGGTTATAGCCTCCAGACAAACTCAATGTCGGAGCCTCGTGCTCCGGATGACCTCACCATAGATGGCTCTACCCGGGGCATTTTTTGAGCGCCGAGTGTGAGATGATGAACCCGCGGTTTGGAACATGTTTTGAATGGGTTGAAACCAGACTAACGAGGACTAACCAAACGTATATGTAGCTGGTTGGTGGTTTGGAATATGTTTTATTTTTCCATATAATTATTGGGAATGTCATCATCCCAACAGACTGTCATCTTTTTCAGAGGGGTAAGTTGAAACCACCAACCAGGTAGTGATAGAGTGAAGGTTACAACCTAAGGTTTGGACTTATTCAGCTGTGGCAAATGCTTTATGATGTTGTACTTGTATGCAAAGTAATATGTTTTTCTTGCCCAGACAGGTGGGGGGAATGAGAAATCCAATGGGGAACTATAGGGTCGGTGGCCCACCGCAGTGGTATAGGTGTCGGGGGCTAACTTGAGGATGGGTTAGATTGTATTGTATGTCTGGACTGGCGAGTCCTTGTTTTTTTTCCCATTCCTACAATGATTTAGCAACCGACAATCCATTGCTTATCATTGTTCTTTTGGATTTTACCTTTTGGTCCTGGCAATTTTATAGTTATATACCCATTGTCATTCTGGGTCAGTCACTATATTGTTGGTTATACCGTTTGACCGAGTTAGACCCATGATTTTTTTGGTTGGTTTCATCCCCAAATCGTTCTTGGTGATATCCGCATGATCCACCTGTTATATCCTTTGATGGCTTAATGAGAAAACAGACAATCTCTTACATTGTTTCCATACTTTCCTTGGTCAACAAACAACATCCCCAGTTGGCCAATTTCCCTATACTATTGCCAGATGGTTGTTTGAACGCTCATGTTTGTTGATTGTAGACCCATTTCATTCATCCTTTGTGAGTATATCCCCATGGTTGTAGTTCAACCGCAAAACCGATGACTTATTGGCAGAGATCCCAAACATGTTTGGTTTGTGAAATCCGTAACCAACATGCACATTATTCTATATCTGGTTGGTGGTTTGGAACATGAACTTTATTTTTCCATAGATTGGGAATAATAACCCCAACTGACTAATCTTTTTCAGAGGGGTAGGTATACCACCAATCAGATTTTGTTGCATATGTGTGATGCTCGATTGGTAAAGATCAACGCCATTCCACAGCATTTCTTCCAGATTCATCACCCAGTCTTGCAAAGCTTCCATTGCAATCAAATGAAAGATAAGAAGAGATCAGCAAAATCACACGTCCTATCTTTTGGGTGGTTTCTTGCCATACATATATGTACCTACATCAATTGTCGATACATTTCTATAGTATATATATATTACTGTATTCGATTCTATAAGCCCATATTTTTTCATTAACTTCATTGAATTCCATATATTTTTCATATACGTTCCACACATGTCCAGAGTGATGTCCCCAGCGGTGATCCAGCGCCAGGTCAATAGGACCGATGTCGCTTGGCGATTCCTAGCGTGAGGGCAAAATGGTTGTTTTTTCTATGGCAAATCATCTGGATGAGTGATTACACTGTGATTACACTGTGATTACACTGTGATTACTCGTTTTTTTATCACCATTCATCACCATTAAATTTTGGTTAATCATAGTGATATTCTTTTTGATTCATGAATGAATTAATGGTAATTAATGGTGATCCATAGTGATTAATGGGATCTTTAACTAACATTAATAATGGTGTGCATCATAGTGATTAAGTATAGCTATAGTATATTGTTCGATCACAGTGATCCATTATAATGGATATATAGTAATATGGCTATAGGCTATAGGTGGTGATTCATAGTGATTAATGGGATGGCTAACATTGATAGTGATTCATATGATTATTGTTTAATAGGGAATGTCCAAGAATGGGATTATGTTTTTAGAATTTTACAATGATATCAATGGGATCATAATGACTGTCCCCATTAATTCACCATCAATGTTTATATTAGGCATACAATATGTTGGTACTTACTTATTATTTCAATATTAACAGTGCTTGATAGGGAATTCCCAACAAATCCCAATAATGATGATTAAGAGTGATTATTGGAATAATTAACTAGCACTTTTAGTGATTGATAGTGCTCAATAGTCATTATTAGCGATTTATATTGAATTCCAATAATATTTGGTACATTCCATTGATTAGTTGGACTATGCTGGCTTTGTAATGGTTGATAATTGAAGATTGAATGGGCATACCCTCCGGTGTCATCAAACGTGGCAAGCTTGGAAATTAATCATTTAGTTCGATGCTTTCTCCAGCCAGAAACCTCCATTTATAAGAGATTTTCCGAAATTCCAGTGCCACTTTTGATGATCAGAGGATGTTCCAATGATCATCACACATGCTGATGATTACCCTCTGGTTGGTGGTTTGGAATATGTTTTATTTTTCCATGTATATTGGGAATTTCATCATCCCAACTGACTTTCATATTTTTCAGAGGGGCAGGTCAACCACCAACCAGTATGTGATGATGTTGATGGGAAATGCATTGGCTAGGTTATGATAGATAATGCTAGATTGCCCCAGGTTAGTTTGAGTTTTTCTTGAAGTGATGGTGATGTTCTTTTTGATGATTATTCTGGCCATGTGGTTTCAATCACCCAAAACCATAATGTTAGACAATAGATGATAATTGCTGTCACTGTTGGTCGTAAACCATCTCACTTTCTGGCACTCAATTTTGCACCCGTTGCCGTATAGGGCAAACATTGCAAGTCAAAACACGACCATAAATTTCACATCCAAAGTTGTATGGATGGTTTTGGCCCTTTGATACCCTATGGCTGCCATAAACCATCATAAACCTATACCATTTGGGGATGGTAAACCTGGTAAACAACCCACCCATTTATCTATATATATATATATACATTTATATAACTAACTATAATGATAGATTTATGATAGATAATGCTAGATAGTTAATGCCTATATATCCCTATATAACTAACTATAATCATAGATAATGCCATAAACCTACTATGATATTGGGGATTGTTTCTTTTTTTGCCTGGCACTACCACATTACCAGCTGCACTGGCGCTGGAATCACCACACTCTTAAGACCGTGACAGCAGTCCGTCGCGACTGCAACATCGCGGGCCAATAAGTGTTATGGGAATATCATGGAATACTTAACTTATGATATACCTTCTGGTTATTTAACATAGCCATGGAAAATGGCCCATTTATAGATGGTTTACCTATTAAACATGGTGATTTTCCATGGCTATGTTAAATAACCAGATGGTATATATATATATATTTGATACACTGGGACTTAACTCAATGTTAATCAACTTTGGGATTTGCTGCATTGCTGCAACGGATGTTAACACGTACCAGCAACCGAGTGCAATCATGGGCCCGGATATCAGATACCAAAGAAACTTGTGGTCGTAAACGTCCTGTTTTAGCATGGTTTCAATAAAATTCATGTCTGGTGATATTGGGGATGGTTCATTATTGTGTTTTTGGTTGTGCAACAGGATTGTTGTTACTGTAGCATTAATGTAAAACTGATATTTTTTTAAAACGGGCCCTTTTCGGTCAATCACCGGGGGAAAATCGATGCCGCGGAGGTCTTTCAGAAGGCTGGCACGTCGGGGACCTCGGAGATTTCGCGGCGCACAGGTGGCTAGCTGGAAAATCCGCCATTGAACTAGTACCCTTTTGCTATTTAACATAGCCATGGTATAGATGGCCCTAATCGAAATAGATGGTTTACCGTTCAGCATGGTGATGGCTTCCATGGCTATCTTAAATAACCAGATGGTAAATGGATGATTTTCCGAAGTTTATACCTCCATTTAGTGAGTTGGGATTTTCCATGATTTTCCAGCCATGTTGTACTACCGGAGGGTATCTATAATGCCAAAGTTGTTTGAGTTGGGAATTACTCGTAGGTTTGGGTAGAAACCATGGTTTCCTGTCCATTTCCAACCAATCGAGTGAAAGAGGCAGAAAGCAACAAAAAAGATCCTATACAGTATGGGATATGATGATAAATGAAATATCTGTCTGGTGGTTTGGAACAAGATTTTTATTTTTCCATTCAGTTGGGAATGTCATCATCCCAACTGACTTTCACTCCATCATTTTTCATGGGGGTAGGTTGAAACCACCAACCAGATCATCATTAATCATCATGAATCACCATTATTATGATCATTACTAGCCATTATTAACCGTTATTAACCATTATTAACAATTGTTTAATCATGATATACCCTATTATTCCCATCAAATATCTGCAGATGGTTTGGGAAGTGAATCAAACATACCTTGGTTAACCAACCATGGGACCATGACTGGATTCGACTGGTACATCATCCCAAATAGTTTTTTTTCACCGGTAGATCAGACAAATCGTTGATGGTTTTCCTATGATATACTATCACAAACCCGTCACACCATCATTTTTTGAAAAAAACACATAAATATGTTATCATGATTGCATTATATATAGATAATTATATATATATATACCATGAACACCATTGATAATTTACTTATACTCAGTAAAACCCAAGTATCAAAAGAGCATTGAACCATGAAGTTTTACGCTGGGTGAAACCCACCAGCCCAAAAGGCTGGTCAAGTTTTCAGGAGGAACCAAAACTCTTCCCGCCCCCTGAAGACTCATGGCAGGGTCTAGGTTGATGTCGGAGAGTATATGGATTTATATGGATTGATATGGATTTTTATCAACATACAATATTGGGATTTATATACTGTATTCCATATATGAAATTCTTGGGATTTATGTGGATTGATATCATATAGTCACAGAGTTGCAAGCCAAATAAGCAGGCATACTCAAGCCAAATAATCAATAATAGACACAATAAATAGCAAGAATAACATTAATTGGAACTATCCGTGGTTCAGAACAGGTTTTTCTGTCCAAAAGAAACAGGTTTGTTGTGATCATGATTGCTATTGGGGAATGATTATGAGTACTATTATTAATTATCATTAGATATAGTTATCCAATTGTCATCATTGCTATGATTCCTGAGAAGGTACAAGACACCCCCCAGTCATCATACTCATCATACCCCACATCCTAAGGTACGCTACGGCTGGATCAGGGATTGTTATTCTCCATTTAATCATTATCGATTTGCTTAAGATCTTAGACTTTCCAAAAAAAATCCTAATAAGATCCCACTATATTATACTATATTCACTATAGATTTCCATTATTTTATATAGGTATATTTTGGAAAATACCTATAAGGAAGTTGGTATATATTTTTCCAAGGTATATTTTTGGATTTTGCTTTAAAAAATTGTTTCCCCAAAAATTTACCACGGAGATTCCCCCCTTTTTGTGGATAGATGTCTCCATCGATCATCCAACGAGGTCCTTAGTGCTGATGCGCAAGGGCGATGATGGCTGGTCCTTGGTCGACCTCCGAGGAAGTGACCCCATGGGAACCAAGGTTCAACTGGCGGAAAAGATGGGTGAGGAGGAAATGTAACATGGGGAAAATAGATGAACATAGTTATTTATAACATTGAAATGTTTTTTTTGGAGATGTTAATGGGATTTAATGCGATTGAATTAGATTTTAATGGTGATTTATAGGATATCATTGCGATTTTAACGGGGTTTCAATAGGAAACATCACCAATTTAAATGGGATTGGCATGTGCCATGATGGCTATGGGTGAAAATTGGCATTCCCAGAACAGAAAAAAATACAGAACAAGAAACGACTAGGATTTATTTGGGTTGAACAGGGTTTATATTTCACGGGATGTAACCGATCAATAAAATGATTGGTTGGTGGTTTGGAACATGTTTTTATTTTCCCACATATTGGGAATAATCATCCCAACTGGCTAATATTTTTCAGGACGGTTGAAACCACCAGAAATGAGATTTGGGTGTGTCTTGAAATATGACCGTTTCAATAGGGGTAAATTATGATGAAGCATCAAGTTTGAGGTCGCCGTTCTTTTCCGACAAACCAAAAAGCGCGGGTCAAACATGAATGGTACCCCCCAAAATTCCGAAAACACATCATCATGGAGATTTGGACAGCCAAAAATGGTTGCACAACACAGGCCGTTGGCAACGTTGGTGTTCCGCAGGCCGTTTGTGGTAAACTCCCATGTCTACTCAGGCCCAGCTGTTTGGCTACCTTGATGGGCCATGGAGCTACCTAACTGGGTAGTAACCCCTACCAAATCTGAGCACATGTATGTATAATTATGTATACTGTATTTCATGTGTTATAACTCACTCAAAGTAGTTGATTCCTACTGAAACTGGGTATCTTGGGCATCTCTCATGTATAGCCCAGCAAAACTTGTTCACCGCATTCCATGGCCGCGTTGAGAGGTACGACCTTCAAATGGTCGCTACGATCTGTGGAGCTTTACCACTGCCCTCGGATACCCGCAGGCGTGTCGAAGCCATGGCGTTGCGTTTCTACCCCCAATGGATGGGTTTTTTTCGTGATAGTGGTGGATCTTGTATAGATGTGTTGCGGAAATGTCAATGGTCAATGGAATATCAATGACTATTAAACATTATTAAACATGATTAACCATTATTAACCATAATTAAACCATTATTACCTCATACTAAACCAATGTTCCAGTCACCACCAACCAGTGATTATTAACCATTATTAACCATTGGTCAACAATGGAATATAGTGGTCAATATGGTCCGATCATGTTGTTTTTTTTTTCCGGTTTCATGACATGTCAATGATATTGGACCTGACCACCTGGAAAATCGGAAAAAAAAAAACGGGAAAATCCATAGAGCTCTGGATTTCCACAGGTTACACTATGTTACACTGTAGATTTCCGGATTTCCCCTTGAGATGTTTTTTTGGGATATGGGCAATGGGCTATACCCCATTTTCAGACGCCATCTGATATACCACCCGATTTCCCGCGAAAAAACCAATGAGATCCTCATTATGTTCAGAACATCTGTCACTTACCGCGGTAACATAAACCAATTTTGCGTATTGATTCTGGATGAAATGTCTGGAAAAGGCATCCAACTACCATGGATATTTTCCATGGAGATTTCCCATCAGGATGCCCATCCATTTATATAAAATCCTGGTTGGTGGTAACTGGAACATATTGGTTTTAGTATGAGGTAATGATGGTTAATAATGGTTAATAATGGTTAGTGGTTAATAATGGTTAATAATCACTGGTTGGTGGTTTGGAAGATGAATTTCATGACTTTCCATTCAGTTGGGAATTTCATGATCCCAGCGGACTTTCACTCCAAGATTTTTCAGAGGGGTAGGCGAAACCACCAACCAGATTATTATTAACATTTATTAACCATCATTAACTATATAATTACCATATATTAACCATATAATAACCATATTATATTAAATGGAATGTCTATGGAATTGTCCATGAAAACACCTGGGGACCCTGGGGATTTCCATTGGCACATGCGGCACATGCGGCACAGGCCCTTCGCCGCCACCAGTCGGGTGGGCGTGTGCCGAGGGTGAGGTGCAGAGAAAGCCGTGCCGAGGGTTTTTGCACCAGGGATTGGGTACTGGGTAGACCGGTAGACCTTACTCGTCTCATTTCACGAGAAGTCGTCTCGCAACTGTTTTAAAGTGCCGGACTGGGAAGTGTTGTTAGACTCCTCATCCCAGAGTCGTCATATGTTTTTGGGCATGTTGAGTTTTACAAATCGCAATGGCACGATGCTTTGGACTGGGAACTGTGTTCACCCAAAGTCCCAAAGTTATGGTTATCTTGCCGTGCCATTGGGATTTGACGCTAGTCACTGCATGTCAGTGGTACAATGACATGGTGGAGGTGGAGGGCTGTAATTTATTTGTGGAATTCTTATTCCTGAAGAATCGTTTGTGTGGAATTTGAAACCTTTTGATTGCGCAAAGGAACGCCTTTTTCAAATGGGGCAAAGGGCTTCAACCTTAAATACCTCTTACTGCATGATGTGGTTTGTAGTCAAGTGCTACAAATATGATGTTTTACCGTTTTACCACAAAATTTGTTCATCCTGAAGGTCAAAGTTCGCGCCGTAGGAGTTGGGGCCCCCAAACAATAGAAAAGTGTGACCAATAAAAATAAGGATTTACTGGAATTTATACTTCATGATGACCTCCAGGAAAACCTAAAATATATCAATTATACCAGAAAGCCCCTCAAGCTACCAATTGTCCATCGTGTTTTCTGATCGACCCTGCAAATTGCAGCCCCCAAACGATCGCTAAGTTGGTGCAAATAAGTTGTTCTGTTTTTTTTTCTAGTGTTCTTTCATATCTTTCAGTTTTCCTTAGTTTTTTCCCTGAGCCCTAGCATTCTTTAGCTTTTGTTTGTTCAGTTTAGATTTTCTGGTTTTCCTTTGCGATTCTTTGTTTCTTCTGTAGATTCTGAACTGATTGGAGTTCCAGCGGTGAGATCTCCAAAAAGAACCAAATACCACACAGAATAGTGTTCTTTCCAACATGTTCTCTTCTTCTGAACATCTACTTTCCTCGCGTGGGGAGGAACTGACACCCGAGCACGGGGCATCAAGCCAGTTGGTGGTTGGGCGCTGAAGCAATCTCAAAGCAACAAATTTTCAAGAAGAAAGCTACCATGTAGGCGAAGACAAAACGCGGCCGTGAAATCCATAGAAGGGCATCTCAATGACAGACAGGCAGAGTGGTTACAGAAACCGACACGAAGACACCTTGGCGACAACATGAGAAATCCAGGTGGAGACAGGCGACGTGACCTGGGAATGGCCAAACATGAATCATCTGTCTCTTGGCTCCACAGGTGGACTGCATGAAATTCAACAGTCGAAGAAGATGAACCTCTTCATTTTCTAATGGGCACACACACTGTTTGGGAAAAATTGCGCTTGCAAAAAATGGTCATCTCAAAGCCGCGATTCCCTGCTCCACTGCAACTCTGGGCAGTGGAGGTACATCAATGTTCATGCCCTGCAAAAGACAACGATGGAAGGCTTGAAATGCGTCTTTTGAGAAAGAGATGCAGCGGAATCATCCGATGGAAATAAGTGGCAGTCGCTGTAGTAAAACACGGCACGGCACAATTCTTAAATCATTTTTGCATGTGTTTTACAGTTTTACATCAAAACTTCCCGGCTCGCCGCCGTGCCAAACTCGTTTTCACACAAAAAAAAAACGTTTTTTACGGGCAGGGTTTGTTACGCCCGGTGGGTTTTGACCTGGAACAGCCTTCAATGTGGAATGTGGACGCGCAGTCAGTTTCGCTGCTAATCATTTTTTGTGCTGGGAGCATACGATGCTACATGTTGCTTGCGATGTTGAGATCAAGATGGATGCAGCCATCAGCCATCCGGGATGCTGCCCAATACGCCTTTTAGACATCGTTGCTGGCAAGACAGAGTTCGCCACAAGCCTGGCGCATTCATGGGGTGAAACTGAACCAACAAACATAACTGGAGGGCCCACATTGAATAAATTGGCTTTATATATACATGTTTATATCCTATATGTTAAGAAACCGGATTTCTTTCAACTGATGGTTTCATGTTCATCCAAATGGTGTTGCAATCCATGGTGGCCGTGCACCGAAAAAACCACCCATCGGTAGAATGACGATTCTCGAATTTCATGAAGTCCAGTGCATCAAGATCATCAATGCGACCCCAGCTGTTCTAAGGCGGCCGCGTCTAAGGGAGTGTTTTGGAACAGTTACGGACATGGACGTGGTATTACTTGAGACGTGAAAAACATGTGGAATTAAGCATTTGAAAAATGAGTGGCTTGGGCCACCTACAGATCATAGAGACACTGGCATAGTCAGCAAGTAAAAATTGTTGCCCTAGACCATGGGACAACAATGTGTTACTTATGGATATTTGTTCTTGTTTCCCCATGGCGTTTTTGATAGCAGTTGTCATCCTGGATGAATCTTGCCCCCTCAATGGCGTGTGCATATGTGGCCCCCGTCACTGGAAGGTTCTCGGAACAAAAAATGTTAGATGTTCCAACTATTTTGGTCGATGTGTGTCCTTTTTAGAAGCAATGTGCTACCCGATTCTACCCAAAGACAAACACCAATGTTCACCAATAAATATTTTGGGGATTGATCTCTTCCTACTGGACCATCGGTTCAAAAAGGGGGATGAACATCCTTCAGATCATTTTGACTGAATTTTCTAAATATTGTCGAAATTTACTGGCACACAGGTTCGAAAGCGATGAACGGGTCAGTGGAATCATTTGTTGTTTAGATCAAGATCCTGATTTTTGTTGGTTGAACAATGTTCCTTCTTCCCCCTGCACACCACGTGTCCCTTTTTCCTTGGAGGAATGTTTTCCCCATTGTGGTTCTATACACCCATGGAACGGCTCATTATGCCAAGTTCGTTAGTATATTATATCCCATCTTATCCCACTACATCCTGAAATATTCAAGTGGGTCATGTATATCTTGTATCCCATTATCATATCACTACTCCCAAATTAAATATCCCATGTTATATAATATTATAGAACATCACTGTATTATGATATCCCATATTATCCAATTAAATATCCCATGTTATATAGTAATATATAATAATATCCCAGTATATCACCACTTTCAGCACAAGATAATTGCATGCTTCCCCCTCCGTCAGTCAGGGCCCTGCACCCATGCTGTTGCCGGGCAAATCTCCGCTGCTTCCCTTCCTCAAAAGTCCCAAGGTGTTCGACGAGGTGCTGTGCCGCTGTGAAGATGTCAGTTTGTGATATGTTTGTTTTCAGACTATGTTTCTTAGAGCAGCCAGTGTGTATATATATACATATTGTGTATATGTATATTATATTATATTATATATTATATTATATTATATTAAATTACATTATATTATTTATATTAAATTGTATTGTATTATATTATTATATATATATATTATATTATATATATATTATATGTGCATTTATATTTGCAAGACTTTAGTACTACACATGCTTTCTTTCTTCAGAGATCCTTGGACCAGAACTACCATGAGTAAAAATCAATGCGGCGATGTCAAAATTTGAAGTTATGTTCAGTATGAGCTTGAATGAGTAAAAACACCCTGCCACATATCCCAGCGCTCCTTGCTGGACGTGAGTGCCCCAAAGGTTTCAAGATTGCAGTGTCGACCCTGGATTTTTTTTCCACGCTTCCGGAGCGCTTCCGGTTGCATCATGTAGTACCCAAAGGGGGGATAAAAAACAGGAAGTTTCCTATCTCAATGTTCCCAATAATAACCCATTGAATCCCATCCAGACCAATAGAATCCCCTATTTCAGGATGGTTGAAGCAACCATAACCTCTATTTGTCATGGTAGATCCATGTAAATCATTTTGAATCCACAACTAGCTTCATATCTGATGACTCACAAAAAACATCAAACAACATCAAAACACATTGAAAAAAAACATCAAAAAGACATCAAAAAACATTCAAAGCATCAAAAAGACATCAAAAAACATCAAAAACATCAAACAGATATCCAACAACATCAAAAAACATCAAAAAGACATCAACAAACATTTAAAAAACATCAAACAACATCAAAAAGACATCAACAAAAACATCAAAAAATATCAAAAAGACGTCAAACAACATATAAAAAAAAACATCAAAACACATTGAAAAACATCAACATTATCAAAAAGACGTCAAAAAACGGTTAAAGTACAATTTTTCATGGTGATCCCGGTCTCCCTTCGCCGCAGCGGTTGTTCGTTGTTCGTCACGTCAGGAACCGGAGCCTGGTATGGGCACCTCGTCATCTTGGGTGTCCGGAGCTGAGCGGCAACAGTGTTAAAAATGGGGTAATTCTCAATGGAGATCAATGGGATTAATGAATAAATAGCCAGAGGGTAAATTAATAGTGATAATATCAATTAATATCAATATCAATCACTATATCATTAATCACTATTAATGGTTAATAAATAGCATAAGTATTTAGTAATTTAGTAAGCACGACATATCCTGGGATGGGGATATGGATGTATATGCTGGTTGGTGGTTCGGAACATTTGGATTATTTTTTCATATTTTTTCCATATACCATCCGGTTATTTAACATAGCCATGGAAAATCCCTTATAAATGGAGGATTTAATGGGAAAATAATCCATAAATGGGCCATTTTCCATGGCTATGTTAAATAACCAGAGGGTATTGGGAATTTCATGATCCCAACTGACTTTCATATTTTTCAGAGGGGTAAGTCAACCACCAAGCAGTATCAATGGAGATCAACGGTTATTAGCTGCTGAATCAACCAGTTAGTATTTTTTCAATAATGTACCCTCTGGTAAACTAACATAGCTATGGAAAATCACCATTGTTAATGGGAAAACCAACTATTTTCAATAATGTATCCATGGGTCAATTAATTACAATCGTTAGTATCATTACTTATCATTGTTGTATTGATGTAATGGTTATTGCAACAACGGTTATTAATTAAGCAATAATGTTGATTCCAATCATTTTGGCCTATTACTAGTGATCAACTTAGCCCATATGGTCTCCCAATGAAAAAAACAAATTTAAATAAGCATCTCGTTTGGATGATATTTATTCTTGTAGGGAAAGGAATAATTCGGATAATCTGAGATTTAACCGTTCTTTTTGTAATAAGATTGCACTTGGGATTGATGATCTAGTTTAACTGCCAATGTACTCTTGGAATCAAACACAAGTATCATGTATTGCAAAAATACGATGGACTGTTGATATTCCACTTGCCAGGTGTCTGCTTGGAAAGGGCATCTCCAATTTCATGCCTTGGGCATCTTGGCACTTCAGAATGAAGCGCTGCAGCCCGTTACGAACGTGGACAAACGATGATGCCGTACTGTTCCCGTGGTAGACCCATGATGGCCTCGATTGTTGGCGCCTACTTGGCTGCCCGCCCAAAATGGGATGATTTGAAATCACCCAGAATTGGGAGATGAAGAACTCTCACGGCAGACTGTTCTACTATGATTTGAGTTTGTCTATTTCTTTTTTAGTTCAGTTTCATGTCGTGGTTGAGAACATCATTTTCCAAATTACTGTGCAATGGTCATACATGTTTCAATGAATTGATTTCTTGCCGTAAGCCGCCGGCTTTGACATTTTGACAGCCGGGAAATTGACACATTCGCGGCTTCGCGGCTTCACCGTATTGTGTTCACACATACCGAATCATGGCATCATGGCATGACTAGTACTGAAATCTGGTTGCCCAAAAAATGAACATCAATGGAGGTTTCAGTAAAGTACTAGTCAAGTATGGTACCCCCATTTATGGAAACCTCCATCAATGAACATCTGGAGGTTTCCATAAATGGGGGTACCCCCAAAATCGATGGTTCGGTTTATCATGGAAAATCACATTAAAATAGGGAAGATGACTGGGGGTACCCCTAGTTTAGGAAACTTCCATATTTGATATATTTGATGATGTTAGTAGTTCCTGCAAAAACCTTGGATAGCCTGTAAGAAGTGTTTTTTGTGTATCTCAGCTTAGCCAGGTACATCGAGAGGTCTCACAAATTCTTTTTTGGCTAAGGTCATGGATTATGAAAAAGTACCCCAAATCGCAGGCGATCTTGGAAAACACACTAATTCCGGGGATGGTTTGCGTGCATTGCAATACACAATCTTTTTTTGTTATGAAATGCTATGAGTATGAAGCGATATGAACCAGCCCAATTAACCCCATCAACACCATTAAGTACAATAACCCTATTGGAACCGTATAAGATGATATAGTAAGAGTTGACGTGTGATTATTCCTATTGAGGAACCATTATAACCCGCCGGTGGCAATGGTAAATTCCTCATCCATCGCTGATTTTCCCATCAAAACCTACATTTGTGTGATTTGCCAGCTTGCCGAGTTTGATTAGCAGCGGGTACACCCAATAAAACCTCTATACATGATGATTAGTCACCAAAATTCTGAGTTTTCAGTCCATTATAATCACTATTTATCTATCTATCACCTTTTGAATACCATTCATTGAGCTAAATCCCATGATTTTCCCATGCGAAATCCCATTAAAACATCCATAAATCGATAGGTCCAGTGCCTCGCGAAGAGCTGCACAGCAAGCGTTGCTTGGAGTCAACGGTTCAGCTGTGAAAATAAATGGATTGGTTTAAGGGAAAATCTACAGGAAATCAGTTATTTTCCATGTCTTTTTCCATCAATTAATATCAATTATGAGGGGCTTTTGGACTGGGTTGCCCTGAATTTTGGGATGAACATCATTGTAAGACTGCGACGATCAGTAGGATTAACAAACCATTTGAAGGTTCTTGAATGGGGGATTACACAACCATTGAATCATATCAAAATATCGGAGAGGATAATAGGGATTTAACAGGATTTAATCTGTTTGGGGATTCCTATAATCCATCGCAATTGGGGTTACGCTGTTTTCACACCAAGCAAAATATTTGGAGGAATGGATCAGCGTAAGATATACATTTTCATCATCCCCCATCCACAATATCCATGAGGCAAAAAATTGTGGATGGTGTGTGTGCAATATTGGATCTACAATGGTGCTGATATTGAGGGTCTCAAACCCAAAACCAGACTGCAATGGATTGGGCTAATTATTGGCAGCAGCAGAGCGGCAGCAGCAGAAGTCACCGATGAGGGGCTTGGATTTGGAAACCCAAAAGCTCTATTTGCTTATGCATGCTGCGCACAAAAATTGCGTTGCATGTGTGGAATATTGGATCCGCAATGGTGTTGATGCTGAAGAGAAATCGGTACACTCAGGCTACTCTGCTATGGATTGGGCCGAGTGGGGCAAGGCGCACGAAGCGCTTGCAGTATTGCAAGCAGAGTGCGGAATGGAGCCGGTTCGGAATTGTGGGAAGCTGCTGTGACTGGTGACGTTCAAACTGTTTGCTATTGGTTGTATGTAGAATGTGGCGGTGCGCCATAAAATTGCCATTTAAAAAAAACATAGATCCACCAGAAAATGTTCTCTCTCTCTATATATATATAATATAATCCCTTACTCTTAATACTAAACTCACCCTAATAATAAACACCTGAGGTAATTTTTAGTATTAGGCTGGTATTCATTATTAGGGAACGAAAGCGGACCCTAATAATAAGTCTAAACCCTTAATAAAAACAACATTTTTTCGATTTCAAATCAATTAAATTTCCTTGTATAACGCAATTAAAATATTGCCAAACACTAAATTTCGAAGCGGACCTTAATAATAAGTTAACATTCTTAAACAAAAAACCGGTTTTTGATTTCAAAATCAATTAAATTTCCTTTTATAACGCAATTGAATTATTGAAGCTTCCCCCCAATATTTAATAAACAACCCTAATATAAAAAAATAACATTTTCGGACGGACTCTAATAAAAAAATATAAAAAACACACCGGGGTTGATTGACTAGTTTTTATTATTAGGGGATGACACCGACAAATAGTGGCTTTATTTTTAAATTGTGTTCTAAAGGGGATCAATTAAAAGTCAAATTGGCCAACCTGAAATTTTCCAAAATTAGAGATGGACCCTAGTTTTCATTATTCGGGGGTGTTTTTGTAATAGGGGGAAGGGATTAATATAAGTATAGATCCACTATCGATCCACTATAGATCTTCTATAGATCCACAAAATCAATTGCCATAGATCCACTATATCCATTGCCATAGATCCACTATATCCATTGCCATGAACATGCCATAAGATTGCCTTTTTTGTTTTTTTTTCTAAAATTCCCATAGGAAATCCATAGATCCACCATAATTCCTATAGAAAAATCCATAGAACTTCTATAGATCCACAAAATCAATTGCCATAAAACCCATAGATAATCCATGGAAAAAAAATATAATTTAATAATCCACTAATCCATAGATAATCCACTAATATCCATTATAATTCCCATAGAAAATCCACCAAGAAAACCGACATTTTGGATCCACCATCCATTTTGTTCCTGAGACACGACGCCTTGGAGCCGGTCACCAAACGTCCCTTGCGCGGTCCCTCGGGGCGGCCCATTGTGGTGGCCAACCCGGCGGGGATGCCCGGACGTTACCCCAGAAATGTCGTGAGAAATGGCGATTTCATGGGTGTTTCAATGGGAAAATCGTGATTTTCTGGGAATTTATGGTGATTTTATGGGAGTTTCAATGGGAAAATGATGATTTCATGGGAATTGATTGGTGAAAATATGTAAAAATAGGGTGATTTTGGAAAAACATGGTGGTTTACTGGAATTCAAATGAGGAACATCATGATTTAATGCGATTTAAACATGATTTAACATGTTTTGAATGGGATATAATTGCGGGGATGTCATGGAAACATTTATGGGAATATGATGGGAAGATATGGCATTTTGCCACCCAAAATCGAAATTCAGCTAATAGATATGATGATTTAATGAACAACATTATGGATTAACAGGTTTTCGTGGGACATGTTTGATAGGGTTGAACCAAGAAACATGTGGATTTTGCCAACCAGTCGATGTTTTTTTTTTTAGGTGGGAAAAACATTGGCATCACGTGTGCCAGCTTGATTTTCATTTTTTGTTGTTAAAACAAGGGAACATGATCAGTTCAAGGGGGTGCTTCGCCAGTTATCTACATTTTTGTTAGTAAATCCATGTGAATCCATAGCATGTTGCGGTCGGTGGTAAATCATAACCCTTTTCACTGGTTTCACCAGTTTTTTACCCGTTTCCCAATGGTTTGCTAGTGGTTCGGTAAACCTTTACGAACACGGGGCAAGGGTTTGGGGTTCCCCCAAGTTGATCAACAGAGTCAGAGGGCATTCCCGTTAACATTATACTTACCAATGAACATAGTTGATATTATGATATTATGTAAGCAACTAAATGTTGGCTTTGACATGATATATACTTGGGGTGTATATATATATATATTGTTGTTGTTGATTCAAACCAATGTGGTTGTTGATTCTATCCCAACGAAAATTTCTCTCAAGGCCAAAGGCGGCGCGGTGCCCGATGGGTCCGGGCACCCAGATTTGTTCCCATAGCCATGGAGAATGGTCCATTTACTTTGATTGATTTCCCTATCTCAATGGGTGATTTTCCAGTTCGCGAACTGTTGAACCCCCATGATGCGATCGCATCACTGCTGTCGGCCATGGATGGTTCAGTTGGTCAGGGCCTAGCTAAGTGACAAATTAACATCGTAAAAAACATGCTGAGCATTCACATGTGTGAATTAGATTACCAATTGCTTAGATTACTAATTACCAGATGTGTAATGTTGCAGTTCTTCACATTTGATAATGACAAGTCCAGGTTGCAAATCTATGCAGAATCTATGCTACGGAAAATAATGTCAAATCACCATGTTTGGTAGGTAAATCATCGAACTCAACCGGCCATCTATACCATCGCAAACTCTTAGCCCTTACCAAAGGGTAAATCAAAGCATCACTAAATCATCATTGAGAGTGGTTAAATCCCTCTGCTAATCACATGAATGGTGATTTTAATCCCATTTTAGAAATCCCAGAAAAAATCACCATGAAATCCCACTAAATCACCATATGTCTAGTGGTTAAATCCCATGAAATCACCCGAAATCACCATCCGAAATCCCATCTTTTGCGGGTGCGAGCGCTGAACAATTCCAGGGCGCGCTCGCAACCGTTGTTGCAGTCGCTGAAGACCGCGGGACCAAGGAGATGGGTAAAGCAACATGTGATATGGATGAACAGTTATAGGTGGTATGTATATAGATGTTTATTGGGTAAACAGTTATATAGGTATATAGGTGATATATATATATAGTATAGTGTTGTTTGATACAAATATATGGGATATGTAATATGGTATGTAGATACAGTGATATGGGTAAAACAATATCTTTTTTGCACCATCTCCCTGTCATCACCATTTTTATAGGTGGTATAAACAATTCCCAATTGTTTGGCGTTCTACCCGGTTGGTAGATTGTTGTTCTCATGCATCTCATCTGTTAAGCAGTGGCTGCATTCTAGCCTGATAGCCCGGTTGGTTGATTTTTTGGGTTTGGGGATGATATGTTTTTTGATGTTTAATCCCAGGAAACTAATCAGAGTAACCAATGATTGGAATTCCAAAAGCTGATAATTACTATATAATTACTGAATTAAGCTATTAGTTGATGGATGAATCATAATAAATCATGGTGAATATCATGAAAAATCAACGGGGAGTCAAGTATGTACAAGACATGGACCAAAACTCCTTCACTCTTTGGTGTCACTGCTTTGACCGAACTCTCACGACCTGTACCATGGTTAGGACTAGGGAATGCCCAGATATATCCCTCCCATTTTAGTTGCTAAATCACAGAAGTGTCCAAGTTAAATCCCTAGTTTTTATGGTTAAATCCCTAGTCATGTACTGTTCTGCGCGGTATGTGACTTGTTCATACTTTTTCCCGCTTAGATGTGGGTGGAGAAGTAGAAGTTCTCAGGGATTTGTTGATGGTTGGAGCAGGATCCAGACTTCCGTGCTGGACTTGTCCCTATCTTGGATGGTGTTAGAATGCGTTTTGGATGGTTACATCAGTTAAACCCAATAATCCAACCTCCAAGTTTGGTTAAACTATCATTACATCGCTTTATATAAATCCCAATCAAAATGTGGTAAA